GGGGGTGGGGTTCGGGGTGGGTTTCAGAGGATGGGGGTGGTGAATTTTAGGGGGTTGTTGGTTTTTTCAAAGGGGTTGTGGGAGTGGGTTTCGGTGGTGGTGGTGGGTGTTTGGTGGGGTAGGTGGTTGGCTGTTTGGTGGTGCTGGGTGGTGAATTTTTTGTATAATACTAAATATGTTTTTTATTTTTGTTTTTATAATTTTTTAAATATAAATGACTGTCTAACATGTTTCATATTTTTAATTTTTATCACAAAAAAAACTAAAATTTGTTTTCTTTTTTTAATTAAAAAAACGTAATAATGAAATCGTTACCAAAAATACCCTTAGTTATTTTTAATGTTAGTACTGTAAAGATTTAAAGGATTGGAAATTTAAAATTCTACATTCCATTTGTTTTCCTTATCATCTGTTGCCAATTAGAAGTATATGCCCATCTATAAAATGTTCAAGTTACTTCTCTCTCTCTCTCATAGTCTTTCTCCTTCTTTCCATTACAAATCACATTGAACATGGCATCTAATGCAGTCTTATTCATTCATTTTATTTCAGTTGTATTCTTTCAAGAAATATGTTTTTATTTACCGAACAAAGAATAGTTATCTAATAGCTGTTGGATATTTTTAAGTAATACTTCGTGAATGGCTGTCATTTGAAACCAGGAATGTAGGTTGTTGTTGCAGTGTGATTGATGTTTTGTACTACACCTTTTAAATATCTTGTTTATTTCTTCTCTGGGACAGTAGAAACTCTCTCTCTCTTCTCTAGAAAGGGACCTTTTGTTCCTAGTCTATATTTTGTTGGACATCACTATACGTATAGAATGTTGGGTAGCTAAAGATTTATCATGATCACAAAATGAGTGGAAATGAGAGTGCTGAGACGAAAGCATGGCAAGATCAAAAGTGCATAGTTAGTGTTGAGAGTATTTTTATTATATTTATGTAGTTGTAATAAGTATACCTTTCTGAGGGTATACTAGTCTTTTGTGTTTTATTAGATAACTATAAATACCAATTGATAGTGAGAAGTAGGGTAAGTTCTTTGACTACTCTCTGCCTCTCTCTTATATTGTTTCTCTATTCTCTAAACCTAACATGGTATCAGAGCATATTGATCCAAATTTGATCTACAATTCTTAGAAACCTTCACGTTTTTTGCCCTTTTCTTCTTTTTCTCATTTCCTTTTCTTTTTCTCCTCTCTCCTCTGTTCTTGTTAACTTTGCAATCCACGATTGGTATGCCATCTTAAGCGCAACCAGTGGCCATGGGAAGTTGGATCTCGTAGGTAATTTGGTGATGGGTCTGATCACCATGGTTGTTCTTGATGATTTGGTGATTTGCGTGTTAATGTTGTCGTTATTACCATCGAGGGACTACTCGAGGTTGAGTGTTGTTGATTGATTATGGTTGTTTGATGGTTGCTGGAGGTTGTGCTGCTCAGGGTTTGTGGGCTAGGGTTTCCAAGTTGGTTTGGATTGTGATCATTGTCGGTGGTTGTTGCCTCGCTGTGGGATTACATTGTGATTTGGTGTTCAAAATCGTCCAGTGTTTTGTTTACCAATGGTAAGGCTTCTTGTCGGCAGCAAAGGGGTGTGGTCCCAGTTCCTATCTGTTGCCAGTGGAAGAAGACCCTTATTTGGCACCAGGATAGCCTATTCCAGTTCTTTATTATTGGGCTTATTTATTTTGGCCCAACTGCCTTATTTTTCTGGGTACTGTCCAGTCCCGTAGCAACTTGATGCCCCATCTGCAAATTCAAGGTCTAAGTTCCAATGTCTCGGCCTCAGTTCAGTTCACAGCCCAATTCATTTCAACGCCCAGTTCCTCAATCAGGCCGGTTCAACTTATGCCAGCTGCTTTTGGTTCAGATCAGCTGGTTCAGTAGCACTTCAGGTGGTTCGGTTTTGATTCTAGGTACAGTTCGGCTGGTTCAGACATCTTCTGTACTTTTCTTTGCCGGTTCAGGTCCCGGCACACCTTTTCAGTCTGGTTCAGTGCCTCAAACCAGCTGGTTCATCACAGATTTGTCCAGATCAGGTATCTCTCTTGTTCCTCTCTACTAGTATACAACTTGTGGTACCAATTTGGAGCCCAAGACCGACGATTCCCCTCTTGTCTCAACCTTGCCACTGCCACTTTTCCACATTGCTTTTCTTCATTCTCCCATTACTTCGGTCAAGCTGAATGGGACTAATTATATTTTGTGGTTCTGATCTGTTCAAGTATTTCTTAAAGGCAAAGGTTTTAAAATATATTTGGTGGGGGCAAAACACAAGGACAGTGATAGGGGGTTTGATCAGTGGGTACAAGAGGATACACAAATTATTTCACTATCGTTGAACAACATTGAGCCTCATATTAGCTCTACATTACTTTATCTTGATACTACCAAGGACATTTGGGATCATTTGACAATTATATATTCTGGTATTGATAATTTTACTCGTGCTTATGAAGTCTGCAAACAATATTTTCGCCTTGACCAAAGCACTCTAAGTTTAGAGGACTATTACTCCCGCATTGGAGGAGTTTGTGAGGAATTGAGGATTTACCATCCTTTCACTATTGATACTCAGCTTTGGAAGCGACAATGTGAGGATTTGAATGTTTTGTGCTTTCTTGTTGGTTTGAAGCCGGAGTATGAATCTATCCGTGCCCAGATTTTGGGTGGTCCCGGCCTTCTATCCCTTCCTGAGGTCTTTTACCCGTTTACGTGTTACGTTTTCTGATGCTCATTATACTTCCAGCATTGATTATGGTCCTTCCATTGATCGTTCAACTTTAGTTATCTTTAATGGCAACAATGGTAGTACCAGGGTTACTAGAAAATGTATAACCCCCTATGATCCCCGATCTGGGTCGCACGACCTCAAACATGGGTCATTCGTGACGTGGATCACTCAAATTTTCGACCCCTATCAAACTAATCACTAAATCAAAACTCAGAACCCTAATATAAGCCGTAAACCCATATAAAACCAAATTATTGCAAATATTAGAAATTGCATTGATTAAGTTATAATCAATGTTACCTAGATCAT